CGAGGAGTGGCTGGTGGGTTTGAACCGCCAGCCTTCTGGTTAGCAGTCAAGTGCTTTAGCCACTATGCTACCAGAGCTCCTATATGTTATTTAGGAAATGCAAATTAAAAAAATGACAAGACACCACTGGACGTATATTAGAATGGCTAATATCCAAAACACTGGCAACACCAAATACTGGTGAGAATGTAAAATAATGGAAACTCACTCATTGCTGGTGGAAATGCAAAATGTTATAGGCACTTTGGAAGACAGTCTGGCAGTTTTTAAAAAAAGTTATACATAGGCTTAGTGTACGACCTAGCAGTCATACCCCTACGTATTTATCTAAGCGGGTTGAAAAGTTATGTCCATACAAAAACCTGCATACAAATGCATATAGCATCTTTATTCATAATGCCAAAAATTAGGGGAGCAAGCAAGATATCCTTTAATAGGTGAGTGGATAAATAATTTGTGATACAAGCATACAATGGGATATTATGCAGCAATAAAAATAAATGAGTTAATTATGCTAAGAGAAGATATGAGGGATCTTAAATGCATGGTGGTGACTGAGAGAAGCCGAGTAGCATTTATGCTGATTGTATCCAGATCCTTAGGTATTGGTTTCTGTATACATAGAGTTCTATAGGCTCCATAAGTTGCTATTCCCCTTGGTATAGTAAACAGGTTTAGATTAATGCCTCTGTACAGTACAAAGTCATGGTTATCAAAACTATAGGAGCTCTGGTGGCATAGTGCCTAAGGCATGTGACTGCTAATCAGAAGGCTGGCAGTTCAAGCCCACCAGCCACTCCTCAGAAGGAAGGTTGGACGATCTATTTTCATAGTGATACCGCCTCAGAAACCCAAGGAGAGGTCACTATGAGTCGGATCTGACTTGACAGCAGTGAGTTTGATAATAGGTTAAAAAACAGAAAATTTGATCAATAGACCAAAAAGAGGTATTCATTCTATTACAGAAACCCTACTATAGGATAAACTAGAAATACAGCAGTGGTGCAAAAGGTAAATGTGCTCAGCTGCACGAAAAATTGGTGGTTCGAGTCCACCCAGAGGCACTTTGGAAGAAAGACTGATGATTATTTTCAAAAAGTCAGGCATTAAAAACTACAAAGCACAGTTCTTCTGTGACACACATGGGTCATCATGACTTGATGGCAACTGGTGGTGATGGTAGCATATGACAGGCCAGAAACAATACAGTAGTAGGAAGTGAATCAGCATTTAACAGATGTTGCTGGTTTGAGTAGATAACAGTATTAAAAAAGAATGAACTTTGATCCCTATCTTGCAGCTTACATAAAATAACCTAAAGAAGACAGTTGATACAGTCTTAAACATGTTAAGCTTCTATAAATCCCTAGCTGTTAAAGTACTGAAAGCTATCATCAGTTACAAGACATATGGACTAGAAGATTTTTGCAAACATCTATGCAATGAAATGAAATAAATAGTAAAAAAAATTGGTTAGGATAACAGGTAAAAATAAAACTGATACAGCTTTTCTAAAACTTTTAAGAAATTAACATAAAGTGTTAAAAAGAGATGAACAGCTTATACAAGAAGAAATAGAGTTGATCATCTTATACAAAAATACATAGCCTCTCTTGTAATTTAAATACAAAATAAAAACCTTATGGAATTATTATGTGTCTTAGTTACCTTGTTGTTGTTGTTGTTGTTATGTGCCGTCAAGTCGGACCTGACTCATAGCGACCCCGCCTTGGGTTTCCAAGCCAGTATCACTACAGAAGTAGATTGTCCCACCTTCCTTCCGAGGAGTGGCTGGTGGGTTTGAACCGCCAGCCTTCTGGTTAGCAGTCAAGTGCCTTAACCACTATGCTACCAGAGCTCCCACTACGCCACTAAAAGGCCAAATGAGGGTCTCAGTTGTGTTGATTATTTCCTTGGTTCCTTAGTAATCCCCACATGGCATCTGTCTTTGCCTGTGTGAATGCATATCTTTGTGTCTCTGCTGCTCCTTATATAACTCAGAAGTGATTAGGTGTAGGATCTACCCTACACTGGTATGACCTCAGCTGATTGCTGGATTACATTAGATTGCATTTTGGAAAGTGATTACATTACATCATATTACATTAGATATAAGGTCATTATATTTCATCACATTCACATTACATCCACAGGTATAGAGGTCAGGATTGCAAAACATTTTGGGGGGACATAATTTCAATCCATAACATTTTGCATCTGTTAAACTATTAGGAGCTCTGGTAGCATAGTGCCTAAAGGCACTTGACTGCTAACCAGAAGGCTGGTGGTTCAAACCCACCAGCCACTCCTTGGAAGGAAGATGGGGCAATCTACTTCCGTAATGATACTGCCTCGAAAACCCAAGGAGGGGTCGCTATGAGTCGGGTCCGACTTGACGGCACATAACAACAACAACAACAAAACTATTAAAAATCAAAATGACTGAAGCCATCAGGGTGCGTGTGATGCTGGGGCCACCATATAAAAGAACAGTTTGATTATTTGTTTCTGGAAGCTATTCTGATAATATGTACTAAGCTGTAAATTCCTTTATATTCTTTCATCCAGTATTGTGTTGGTCATACTCTAAAACTACCTCACAAATGTTTCCTGGGAATTGTGTTATAATTTCTCTCTTTCCTTCCAGCCCAAACAGCTACAACTGCTCCAAGGGCAGCAAGAGATACAAGCTTAACTTTACAGCTTAAGAAGTTGCAGGAAACCATTGAGCAGAGAAAAAAAATAGAAATTGGGGACATTATCCGAATCAGAGGCTATGTCCGCACGTACAGAGAAGAGCGAGAAATTCATGCCACTGCGTACTGTAAGCACAAACTATGTCAGCCAGATTGGTTGTTATTCTGGATGTGTGTCCAGTAAACTCTTACTTAGCTAAAAGTCAAACTTCAAAAAGTCCAAAAAGCAAAATTTACCTATTTAATGGCAGAAATTACATTGTATAACATACTTTCTTTAGAAATGTAGCGTTTCTTAATGTTATTCTGAAGAGAGAGGGTTTTAAATATGAAGGAAAATGACTGACTTACTATATGTAGTTGCCTAATTTTATTTTGGTCAACCTGGTAAAGTTTCTGAAGGTGCCAAATGAATTTGAAACCCTAGAGTTTGAGGTTCCAAGTGTCTGTCCATTAGAGTAAAATGTTCATAGTCTTTAAAATGGTGGCTATTTCTTGAAAACCATTGAGTCCATTAACATCAAAAGAATAGCTAATCAGAACTATGAAAGTCCCACATCATCTGAGTGGTGCCCTTTGCACTGCTGTGACTGGTTTTCGGTTTGACATCCCTGTTGTCCACTAGAGTAACAGATGAGTATGCTGATGTTCTTTTCCTGGTCCCGTGCCACCCTTGGGAAAGCCTTTGATGCCTAGGGGATCTAATTCCATCTCACAGGATGACTAGGAACCACTTAGTGCATCTAGACTGTAATGATTCTGGGCTTCCGCATGGAAGAGGTCTCACTGAGCAAGCACCCCATTTCCTGTCATCCTAGCTGCAGTTTAGGCATAGAGAAGAACTGATTTTAGTGTCATCCTTTCCCCGTGGCTTGTTAGATAAAGTGGACGATCCAGTGTGGAGCATTCAGATTTCAAGGATGCTTGAGCTGCCCATTATCTACAGGAAAGTCTATGACCAACCTTTCCACAACCCTACCCTAGAGAAAGAAGAAGCACTAAGGTAAGTACGGCTTATCATTGCTGAGAACGTGACTATAGCAGGAAAGCCAAGTGGTAGGCGGCCAGATGCTGGTGTCGGCCTGGGTTCAAATCCTGAATCATCTCTTTACTCACTTTTCTCATCTGTGAAGTGAAAATAACAGTAGTATGAGCATTAATAGGATTATTGTGAGGGGAATTAGTGTATGTATAATTGGAGGCCCTGAAGGAGTGAGAGCACAGAAAAAATATTTAAAGAAATAATGGCTGAAATGTTTCTAAATTTCATGAAAACTCTAAACACACAGATGCAAGATACCCAACAAAACCCTAAGAAACACGAAGAAAACTACACCAAGGCATCCAAACTCTAGGGTTCCAAATTCATCATCGCCATCATCATAAAAACTACCAAAAAGTACCCCAGAGGTTCTCAGCTAGGGGTGATTTCGCCCTGGCGGGACATTTGGTAATGTCTGGAGATTTTCTTTTTATTATTATTATTTTATTTTCATGGCTTTGGGGATGCTACTGGCATCTGGTGGGTAGAGACCAGTAATGTTGCTAAATATCCTATAATTCACAGACAAACACCCACTGTGAAGAATTAGCCACCCCACAATTTCAACAGTGCAGAAGTTGAGAAAAACTGATGGAATAACTTCTCAAAACAGTGAAAACCACTACCAAAGAAAGATCTTGTTCTGTGTTCTTTATTCCTGACAAACTGTCTGGAGCCAAGCACCTAGAAGTCAAGGTGCCGGGGCCATTGGAGCTGCTTGGCTTAGCTCCCCAACCTTCAGGCTGGCTGCTCACATCCTTATGGGAAACTTTGTAGCCCATTGTGTGGAGTCCATGACCTGGTGTATTTAAAGCCAATGTTTTTCCATTGTGAGTATACCACACGTACCAGTTGCCCTTCTAGTCGATTCTCATTCAGGTCACCCTCACATGTCAGATTAGAATTGTGCTCATAGGGTTTTCAGTGGCTGATATTTTAGAAATAGATTGCCAGGCTTTTCTTCTGAGGTGCCTCTGGGTAGACTCTAATCTTCAACCTTTCAGTTTGCAGCCAAGCATGTTCACTGTTTGCATCATCCAGGGACTCCATTATAGGTATAAACAAAAAACACAAACCCTTTGGGTCAATTGCAATTCATAGTGACCCCCATAGGGTTTCCAAGGCTGTAATCTTTATGGAAGCAGACTGCCTCAGCCACAGAGTGTACCTGGTGGGTTCAAACCACCAACCTTTTGGTTAACAGCCTAAGCCTTAACCACAGTACCAGCGGAGCTCCTATTACAAGTATGAAAACCAAAAACCAAACTCACTGCTGTGGAGTCAGTTCAACTCATAGCAACCCCTCCTTGGGTTTCTGAGGTGGTATCTCTATAGAAGTAAATTGTCCAGTCTTCCTTCTGAGGAGTGACTGGGGGTTTTGAACCACCAGCCTTCTGGTTAAGTCAAATGCATTAGGCACTAGGCCACCAGAGCTCCTATTAAAAGTATGGTGCATGTTTAATTGTAAGTGCATGTTTATTATAAAAGTTTAAACATGTTATTAAATGTAAAAGGCAAGGTGTAAAATAGTATGTATAGTATAGTCTCTTTAGTGTGGCAGTAACCCAAGAGAAGTAAGAATATATCCATACTTGCTAGGATGTGCATAAAGAAACTCTGGGAGGAGATACAGAGAACCAGTAATAGTGGCTACTTAGGGGGTGGGAATTGGAAGGGTGAGGACAGAGGGGAGGGTAGAAAGGAGACTTTTCATTATGTACCCTTTAATTTTTTAACATGTGAATGTGTTACATGTATTTAAATTATGTTGAAAATTACAAACCGTAGACTTGTGTAAAGTTTGCTTCCTTCTGCCTTTGGTACCATTTCCCAGAGGTTACACTGTTCACAGCTGGACATGTATCCTGTTAGACATTTTTCTCCTGTGCATACACAAGCATAACTATTCACCCATGTATTTCGTGGGTTGTCATTTACTTGTTACAAAAATTAGTCCAAACCTTGCCTACTTTTCTACAACTTGACTTTTTTTTCCTTAACATATTGTGAATCTCTGTTAGCTCACTTAGTTCTTCCCCATCCTTTTAAACAGCCACAAAATGTCTGCTGTATGAGTTACCTTTTTTCTAAAAACAAGCATGACTATACTGTTGCACATTCTAGCTAAATTTCTGCTTTACGCATGTGAAGAGGAACGAAGGTGATGGTTTTCTGTATGGATTTTCCAACTTTCCCCCAACAGCAATCCAGGCACCCTGGACCTCACCAGCCTCACGTGCTTGCTGAGTGAAAAAACCAAAGAATTCCTCATGGATAACAGAGTGCAAACCTTTTACCCGCAGGAGTTAGAAATGGAGGAGTCTTTGATGGCCCTTGCCAATCAGCCTGTGATTGACAGCTCCTGCTTGGACCAAGTAAGTGCTGCATCCCTACATGAGGACTCGAGTCTCCTGCTTTGCAGACCATGTGCAGTGAATGGGTGTGGGTGGACGTGACTATGGGATGGAGACTCACAGGATGGGATCAGAGCTTGTCGTTCTGGCCCATGCCGTTTCTATTCTGGAAAGGGCACTGACCATGAAGAATGTGAAATGAGAAGCGCCTGCCCTTTTCCCCTCTTTACTTAAGGTAACCTCATTGGCTTAATCTTTGGGTGGGAAAAATAAAAAAATAAATAGCCTAAGGTTCTTAGTACTTAGTTCTTCGCATTCACCAAGATGGGCATTTAATCTCAGCAGGAGCCAAATGTGGGGGGAGTAGACAGGAAGAGGTGATTATCACTTTAAAATTTATCAATCAGCAAGATACTCCTGAACTTGAACGAAGATTTTAAATTACTTGCTTTCTCTTCTTCAGAGTAAAGTTAATCTATCCTGTTTTAGGAATTGAAATAAACACCTACTTGTATTCAGTAAGTAAAATTAAATAAAATTCATAAGTAAAAAATTTCAAGAAAACATTTGAAGTACAGGCAATCCCCGGATTACAAACAAGTTCCATTGCTAAGTCTGCCCTTAAGTCAAATTTGTATGTAAGTCATAAGAGTTAGGTGTGGTTTGTATCTGACACCAGTTAAGTCAAATGTTTGTCTTCGTACATATTGTTATATATAATACTGCACCTTTTTTATGCATAAAAAACATTAAGGAAATACTCGCACATCTTTAACATCATAACATAATAATGATAATGTTTTGATGCTGGTCGCAAAGTAGTGCCTGGTTTATTATGAAGCGTTGTCCATATCTTGAATTTTTAATACAATAAGCTTTAGTGGGGGTTGTTTCCTAACTGATTCGTACGTAAGTCAGATGTTCAGAACCCAGGGACTACCTGTAGCTTCTTTTCAGCTGTCCTTCTTTTTCATAACTAGTGTTATCTTAAATTGGTATGTGTTTTATTGATTTGCACGGGGTTAAGAATTACTTGAAACTTTGGTTTCAGACCTTCCCTTTCAGTACCATTCGTAAGGTTTTTTGTTGTTGTAACATACCTTGCAGTCATTCATTTGCTCCTTTGTTTTTTTCCACCAGGAATAATCTCAGCTTAAATGTCACTACTTGCTCTCCCTGACATCTGCTCTACTAGCCACTCAAGTCTTCACTACTTATCATGCCATTTTCCTGTCTCATGATGCCACTGATACTTAGTTGGTCTGTCTGTTCCTCCACTAGAATTGAAGCTCTGTCAGAGCAGAAGTCTTCTCTGTCTTGCTCTTTGCTCTATACCCAGTACCTAGAACAGGACTGGCAGCAAGTCAAGTCTCAATAATTATTTCTTGATTGAAGGAATGAATGGTTTGTAGAAGTTCACATTCCTAAAAAGGAAGCACTGAGTATCTGTTAAAGGTGAAGGAAATTTTGTCAATGGATACTGGTGATAGTTGCACACAACTTGATGAATGTAATCACATGCCCGAATTGTACATGTAAAATATGTTTAATTGGCAATATATTTTTACCTCAATTTTTAAAAAATTCAAATAGTCCTAGAGACTGTCTAGTTCAAAGTGTATTTTCTTCCTGTCCTTCTTCCCCTCCTCTTCCCCTAGAGACAGAGAAGCACCATTACTATTCTCTTGAATATCCTTCTGTAGAAAGTCTGTGCATGTAACACTGTAAGCAGGATCCTCCTCTTTTGAACACAAATGATAGCATGCTAAACACTAATCTGTGCCTACATTTCACTGAACAGTGTATCTTATAGATCCATGCATAGCAATAGGTAAAGATTCATCACTATGTAATAATCTTTTGTCAACATGTACCATAATTTATTTAAGCAGTCTCATCATTGTTGGGCTGTGTAGATGTCTACCATTCTCTTGCCGTTACCAGCAGGGCTCCTCTGTGTACCCTTGTTAGGTAACGTAAGTTCTTTAGGACTCTGGTGGAAAAGATACTAAATCTCCATTCCAAGCTCCTAGACACCATCACTCTTCTCAGTTCCATGAGTGCACTTAATTACCTGCTACTGGCAATGGGCTGTGTGCTCAGTGACCCAGGATTTCATACACGGAGATGAGGGGTAGTGTTTCTGGAAACACCCAGTGCAGCGGGTCATGACTGGGTGCTTTATTCTCACCCGGGGTTGCTTCTGAACAGTTGCAGCCCTGCAGCTGTCCAATGACAGCAAGATTGACCTTCTCCACATTTAATCATTTAGAGGAGGCTCGCTGCCAAATTGGCCTCCCAGGACTTGAGATGACTCCATTGGCATGTTTGGAAGGAAACAAAAGCTTAGTGCGACAACATTCTTCTGTGAAGCCAGCTCTTCTTCTGTGATAGCTGCAGTTAAGTAGATACTTAGGACTCTGAGGACTAAGAGGCTCTTCCATTCAAAATGTTTCACGGGCAGCTTTGGCATGGTATCTTTTTAAAAACGTTTAGAGCAGAAATTATGTATTTAAAAAGAAATGAATCTGACACTGTATTTGTTTTGTCTTTGGAAATTACTTTTCAATCAGTTATGAATTATTCCTTCACATTGTTCTGGTTGGGGAGGTCAATGTCATGAAATTAAATTCTTTGTAATGGAGCCCTGGAACAATAAAGGTACTTTACAGTGACAGTGAAACCCTAGATCCTTTGGCATTTTCTGTTGTCATACAGATGAAAGCATAACAAAAACTAATAGTGACAGTGTAAAAGTTTAGAGATGGGGTTGGGGAGGAGGAGGCTTAAATGTTAACCCCCTTTCTTTTCTTTTCTTTTTTTTTCCACCATGGCCTTTCTTAGCAAATCTAGAAATATGATAAGCAGAACTTGCAAAGCCATTGTTTCTGTGACAGCTGAATGGATGTTGAGTTTGTTTGGGAATGAAGACTATATACGCTTCAGAGATCCACCCAGTTCCTGACCTAAGCTGAGGAGAGACCGGGTCAGGCTCGGCAGGTTCAGCCTGTGGCTGCCTTTACCTGTGAGCAGTTGCAGTTTCCTGAGTCAGATGAGCCTGTCATTCATTGCTCCCTAGAAAAAGACAAAGAACACAAATCACATTTTAGTCCAGGAAAAGCTGCTGCTTCGAAGAGATCGGCGACTTTCCCCTTGAAACTCTGGTCTTCATAACCTGGCCAGGGAAATATGTCCAAGGTCAGCTGAGGCAAATGCTTTTGGCAAGGAAGCTTCACGCATCGTTTATATTTACAGAGAGCTGTTGAGCCCTCCCTGCTCACAGCTCAAACTGTGCTTTTAATCCCTCAGGCTTAGAGTACTCCCATCTTGCTACTTGGTCTTTCTGAAATCTGGGGGGAGGAAGCAGGCTTTCTATACGGTCTGGGAATAACAGAGGATCGTTTTGAATGAAGTAATAGTTGTGTGTGAGGCGTTGGTGGCTCAGTGGTAGAGCTCTCGCTTCCCGTACCAGAGCCCTGGGTTTGGTTCCCAGCCAGCGCACCTCGTGCACATGCCTGCTGTCAGAGGAGGCTGCTGTGTGGCTGTGATGCTGAGCAGGGTTCAGCAGAGCTCCCAGCCTGAGACGGACTAGGAGGAAAGGCCTGGTGATCCACGTCTCAGTGCCAGCCGGGGAAAACCTTAGGGGTCACCGTGGCCCAGTCTGCAGCTGCTCATGGGCTGGAGCAGGACAGGGTGGCATGTTCTGTTGGGCACGGGGCTGCTGTGAGTGGGGGCCAGCTCCAGGGCAGCTAGCAACCATGACCGTGTAACAGTCACTGCTGCTTAATTTCCAGTTTCTTTCTCAGAACTGTACTAACCTAACCCTTAGGATCCTAACGTTAAATTGAGTTAAGACGGCAACTCTTCTTGGAATGACTAAGTTAAGCAGAATCATTAGAAAGGTTTGCTGAGGGGTCTGTGCTGGGTTGACTGTGCTTCCCCTAAGTAAGAGCACTCGTGTGTAAAATGAAAAACAACTTTGCCCTTAGCCCCCTTGAACCAAAAGCTGTGTGGCTGAAGATGACTAGATGAGGTGTTTATTCTAAACACACCCACATAGCTTTTCTGCCTGTGGGAGTTGTCAAATATCTCTCAGCCTTATTCTCCTTACAGAAATTGGCTGCTGTCATAACCTGGAATGTCTGCCAACTTTTAGGTCCTCCTTCTTTACCAATCGTGTTCTCCAACTTGTTCTGTTAAGGAAAAAAGTCGACAAGTAATTTAATTAAGAGTGTTAGACTGTCATCTTCAGCCCAGGAAACTTGTTTATACAACATCACCAGGATCTATTAGATTAATAAACTGCCTGTTTGGGAGACCTCTTCTTCAAAAAGAGGGTTTATTTGGGGATAGAATTGCCGATACTTGAGACTGTTTTAGGGAGAGGTTCTTTCCTCTTCCTCCCCTTTGAGAAAATGTCATCAGCACGTCTCACCCACACTCTTGTTCGGCATCTATGGGTGCTTCCCCAGACAGCCTTAATTACCTTTCCTGACAGAGAGGACTTTGTCTTCAAATACTTTTTTGGACACTTTGTCACATTTCTGTGGAGTTCTATTCTTCATGACATCCTGACAAATTTCTTTCACATTAAAAATAGATTTGCATCTGATAGGACCATAGTTTTGTTACCATTTTCTTTGTTTTGGGAATGAACTGAAAATACTCAGAAAGATGTAGTATTTCCAGTGGGGTATTTATTTCCATTCATTTCACAAATCTTTGTTGGTTGCCCTCTATGTGCCTGGAGGAGGTGACCGAAAGGAGATGATTGAGATGAAATACAAAGTGCCTGATCAAGAGGCACACAGTTGAGTTAACTGTGCAGGACACAGACAACATCCTAGTTTCCTTCATATGTCCAGTGAAGACCCTGTTGGGGATATAGAATAGGATAACCTGATATCTCTTTAGCAGACCTGTCTTTTAGAGAAGAAACACTGAAGGTTGGGAGATAGAGAACCGATCTCAATAGAGGCTCCCTCTGAGTGGTGGTCTTTGCTTTGCTGCAGAACTTCTTTCTACCATCAGCCTCAGGGACCCACCTTGGACAAGTTTCTTTACAGCTCTTTTTTTTAATCCTCCATTTAAACTGAGATTTGACACTGTACACTAGACTCTCAGATTATTTTAAAGTGTGTAAAATTCTTTGAAGTCCTTAGGAAGAGATTGAATATGGCCCCAGTTTCAGTGAAGATAGGAGATACTAGATACACAGTGTTTGCTGTGGTGGTGGTTAGCCGCACTTGAACCAGCCCCACCTCATGGCAGCCCCATGCACAACACAACAAAATGCTGCCCAGTCCTACACTGTCCCCGTCATCAGTTACAGAGCAGACCATTGTGATCCGTAAGGTTTTCATTGGCCATTTCGGAAGTAGACCCCTAGGCCTTTCTTCTTGGTCTGCCTTAGTCTACAAGTTCTAGGGAAACCTATTCAGCGTCATAGTGACACACAGGCCCCCACTGGCAGACCATGGAGACTGTCGGCCAGGAACTGAGCCCAGGTCTTCCACGTGGAAGGGAAGGATTCTACCATTGAACCACCAAGAATCTCAATATTTGGGTTTGTATTTAAAATGAAATAAAAGATTGTACACCAACAAGAGTAGCTTTTCGGTTTTACACTCTACATCATAGAATTAAACAAGAAAATCCCACCTTACGTTGTGGAACAGTTGCCAAACATGCTTCCGCCGGAGCGAACTGCTTTTTGACTCAGCAGATGAAAAAGCCTTTCAGGCAAATTCCCAAACCAGTTGGTGCAGGGAGTTGCTTTCAGGTTCTGTAAAGTGGGACTGTTTGCCTTACTTCCTCCTATGCGGTTTTGTTTTTTCCTCTTCCAACAGGTGGATTTTAAGAATGACACCACTTCTAAGGCAATCCATGGTATATTTAAGAACGCTATACAGCTGCTTCAGGAAAAGGGACTCGTTTTCCAGAAAGAAGGTGGTTTTGATAATCTATACTATGTAAGGACCTGCAACTTTTTTTCTTTATAGCTCCAATTAAGTATATCATTTTTAAATACCTACTGTTTTAAAGGAGCTCTGGTGGTATAGTGGCTAAAGCACTTGACTGCTAACCAGAAGACTGGCGGTTCAAACCCACCAGCTACTCCCCGGAAGGAAGGTTGGGCAATCCTACTTCTGTAGTGATACTGCCTCGGAAACCCAAGGAGGGGTCGCTATGAGTCGGGGCCGATTCGACGGCACCTAACAACAACAACAACAACTGTTTTTAAAAAAACAATCATTAAGGAGGTATATAAAATAACAAGCGAAAGCTACCCTTGTCTCCCTTAAATACCACTTGTGATGGTGTATCCTTCTAATCATTTATCTGTGCGTTTATATACAGATGCACACGGACAAATACGTGCTCCAGTGGTGTTTTTGCTCTACAGCAGAATTCCTCAACCTCAGGGGCTGTTGGCATTTTGAACCTGATGATCTTGTTGTAGGGGCGGCCCTGTGCATTGTAGGATGTTTAGCAACACCCTGACCTTTACCTCCTAGATGCTACAAGCACCTCCCAGTTGTGAAAACAAAAAATGCCTCCAGACATTGACAGATGCCCCTGGGAGAGCAGAGAACCACGGCTCTAAATAATGCTCAGCAATTTTTTTAGTACCAAATGTTCCATCATGGGCATCTCTACATGCTGGTACTTAACAAATATACCTCCTTTTAAAACAAACAAACGAACACCCACCAGGTGTTCTGTATTACCAATATTTACCATCAGTTTTTAACCGTTCCTTCCTTGATAGACGTTGAGGTGGTTTTCCAGCTTTCTGCCGTCACAAATACCGTGACTTGGCTGTTCTGGCTCTGTATCTTTGTGTTGTTGTTGCTGTTATGTGCCATCGAGTAGGACCCGACTCGTAGCGACCCCTCCTTGGGTTTCCGAGTCAGTATCACTACAGAAGTAGATTGCCCCATCTTCCTTCCGAGGAGTGGCTGGTGAGTTTGAACCGCCAGCCTTCTGGTTAGCAGTCAAGTGCCTTAGGCACTATGCTACCAGAGCTCCTCCTGTATCTTTGTGAGCTTATGTAAGTGTTTCTGTAAGAAAAAAGGGGAATTGCTGGGTCAAAGGGTATAGACATTTAAGCTTTTGGTAGACATAGCCTGATTGGCCTCCCAAAAGGCTGCTCTAGTTGACATTCCCACCAGGAATATGAATGCTTATTTACCTTGTAGTACAGAGTTGAAAAGTCACACTTCTCACTGAACCAGCGGTTGGTGAGTTGATTCTAACCCACAGCAACCCCGCGAGTGCCAGAGTGGAACTGTGCTCCACAGGGTTGTCGATGGCTGGTTTTTTTGGAAGTACCTCACCAGGCATTTCTTCAAGGCTTCTCTGGGTAGACTCGAACCCCCAGCCTTTCAGTTCGCAGTGAATGCATTAGTCATCTGCCCCACCCAGGGACTCCTCACCTGTCACTAACAGAACCAAAATCCAAACCCTTTTCTGGGGAGTCGATTCCAGCGCATAGCGATCCTGTAGGATAGAGTAGAACTGCCCTGGAGGGTTTCCGAGACCGTAAGTCCTCGCAGGAGCAGACTGCCCCATCTTTCTCCCACTAAGGGGCTGGCGGGTCCAGTTGCTGACTTTTTGGTTAACAGTCAAGCTCTTAACCAGCGCACCACCAGGGCTCTTCACCTCCCACTAAAAGCCCAAGCACACTGCTGTCTCACTCCATACCTGTATTGTCAGAGGAACCAGGCTGAAACAGACCTCCCCGTTACTACTGATGGCAATGGTGTTTAAGGGGGATTCTCCTTGGAGACAGATCAGCATTTAGGGGTGATGCCCGAGAGAGGCCTACCTTCACAGGACATTTTCCTCGTGCAGGTTTGCCTGAATGATTCCCTAGTTTAGAGATTTCTTTTAAAAATTATGTATGTTTAAACACTATTTGAATACATTTGAGAAGGGTATTCCAGTCTGGGTAAGGAGTGAGTGCAGCTCCTCTCCGTCCAGGGTGGGGTAGGCCTGGTAAGCACAGGTTGCCTCCTGTGAGGGTGCAGAAGCTCCCGCGGGCAGCCTGCCACTGGGATGGGCAGCCTACCATTGGGACACACACTCCCTGCAGCTCCTGGACGGCCTCCCTCCTGGTCTGTGGAGGGGAGCTCTTCCTGAGGAACAGCAGGGCTGCAGGCAGCATGCCAGGGCCAAGGTGTGGCAGGGCCGGGGCACTTCCTCCTGTGAATCATCATGAGCTGGGATGGGGTGATGGAGCCATAAAAATTCACTTCCCCAGCATCACCAGCCCCTTTTCTGAGCTCACTCTTCCCCTTCTAGCTCATTCGTTGGCCTTGTAGGTTTCCTTTCTCCTGAGGCCCTGCCTCAGGGAAATTGTTATCCTACAATGTCAGTATTTCTGTTTGTTTAATGCTTTCCAGCTTCTAGCAGCACTCACACAGGGTACTGGATTTAATCTGCACAAGAACCTTGAAAGGAGAGAGAAGGCAGGCATTACCAACATCCCCATTCTGTAGGGCTGGTCAGAGGAGAATTCCTAAGCTGTCTTCTGTAGAAACTAAGAGCTGTGTTTGTTTGCATGCTTCTTCCTTCCTTCCTCCCTCCCTCTCTCCCTTCCTTTCTCTTTTTTGATTTTCTTTTTTGTTATTAGGTGTTCTGGTTACCTAGTGCTGCTCTGACAAGAAATATACCACAAATGGGATGGCCTTAACAAACAGGAGTTTCTTCTTACAATTTGGAGGCTTTAAGTCCAAGTTCAAGTGCCAGGCTCTAGGGACTGGGTGAAAGCCCCTCAACCTTGGGGTCCAACTCTGCCTCCTGCTCCTGGCCCACTGGAGCTAGAGGCGTTTCTTCACTCAGACAGCTGCTGGCTGCTAAAGCTGAGAATCCTCAAGGTTGACAAGTCAAAAGGCACAGTTCCCCATGTTACCAAACCACACAGCAGGCCATTAATTTAAGTCCATTGTAAGTCCCAAGGTCGGCAGAGCATAGCAGGCTGCTGAGCAACGACATGGCTACATGCAGGGTCCAAGAGTGCCACAGGCTAGAGACCATTCCCAAGGCTTCTCCTTAAATACAAGAAGCAGACCACATCCCAAAGGCAGCTACTCAGCTGCTTGTAGTAGATCCCACCATGGAGTTGATTGCCAGTGTCATCATGGGGAATAACTACCACCAGCTGCCCAGCCACTCCCCCAGGCCCAGCCAAGTTGACACAAACTTAACCACCACATTAGGTTTACCACTGAATGTGAAGGTGAAATCCATTCAGTTGCCACATCCCTCTTTCCTCAGCTGGTTGAGAAAGGAGCTAGGTTTTGTTGCCTTTGAGAAAAGAAAGTGTTTCAACAGATAGGCTGTTTACTCTCTGGCTAGCTTTTCCTTACCTTTTTTCTTTCTTTTCAAGATTCTGGTCGTTTTCCTCCCTCAAAAATCTCTCTAAACAAATAAGAAAATTTAGATGAATGTTGAAGAAGACAGTTGTTACTTAAAAGTACAGAATTCCAGTTTTCCTTACCTCAGAGCTGCAGTGAATGAGCTCCTCTGAGGGTAAGCCCCTGAGCCAGCTATAGAGTGGTGAGCTGCTTAGGGATAGAATGAATGGACAATGTGCCAAGTATTGAAAAGTGCATGTTTGATGTGGGAAGGATAATGAGTGTCATGAAATCTTTAAAAGTGATCCTAAATACTAATTTGGGAGTCTGGATGGCACAGTGTCTGTTACTTAAGAACACTTTCTCTCTGAACTGTTTTTCCTATTTAGGTAACCAGAGAGGACAAAGAACTGCACAGAGAGATCCACCGTATCATTCAAGAAGACTGTAAGAAACCAAATCGTAAGTGGAGAGAGGGTATATGTGATGCCCTGGTGCACTGGAAGGGGACGGCCCCCCTCAATGGACCACTAGGTGGAGAACTGGAGACTTGTGGCATGGGGGGTACTTGGTCAAGGTACCTGCCCTCTTTGAACCTGTTTCCTCTCTCTGTAATGAGTGTTGGGCTAGCACAGTTGTTGACCTTGGCTGCACTTGATGTTCAACCTTGGAGCTTTGTAATCATACAAGTGCCCAGGTGCTACCCCTGGGGATTCTGATTCAGGAGGAGTGGAGTGGGGACTAGACAGGTGAGCGCCCTGGGTGACTCTGATGCAGTGGTAAACGACTGGGATAGGACTTGTTAATGTCCCTCTGGTTCTCACATGCTGTTGGTCTGCTCTGTCTCCAGTTCACTCTTGCTCGTTGCCTTTGAATCCAAAGCTGACATTTCCCTCTCATCTAAAAGTCAGGGCCTTCAGTATTGGGAAAGATGGTTTTAGACTTTAGAGTTTGTCAACAGTTTAATTCAGCCATCTTGGAGACCAATGATGAGCAGTTTTAGAGGAGTTATATCAGCCCCTAGTGGTCAGAAGCTCAAACTGTAGATAGTGTGACAGGAACGTTGCCATTTGCACACTAGTTAGAAATGGGACTTCAAACTAGGTTCATTCCGGCTCAACCCCCCGCTGAGGATTTACATTTCTATTCCAGATATTGAATCAGAATCTACATTTTAACAGTCATTATTAAATTTTAATAATCTTATATATGCAATCTACTTCTGTAGTGATACCGCCTCAGAAACCCAAGGCAGGGTCGCTGTGAGTCAGTCCGACTTGATGGCACACAACAACAACAACAACAACATGTATACGTAAGAATCCCCTGGGGATCTTACTGAATGTAGACTCTGTATATCTAGGGTAGAAATGCAAATCTCAGCAGGAGGGCAAACTGGAGTGAACTGGTTTGAAGCCCTGGTTAGAAAGAGAAGAAAGCATTATTCTTAGTTTTAAATGCT